ACTCTTGACTTTTTAGCTCACCTACCTCGCGGTATTTGCTAGCCAAAATGGAAATGAATATAATTTGAATTTATAAACTTTAATTACAATTTGAGTGCATAAATTATAGTTCCTTATGCGGTTAATTGTACAAACCCTGGCGACACCCAACTTGATTCTAAGCGCACGCTGTAATTCTGATTGGAACTCGGAACTGATTGGAAAAATGTTAACTGTAACGATCAAAAATTGATGGGGCTTCCCTTAAGGAACCTTTAAAATTTACGCCTTACGAACTCTTTAAACAAATCTCGTTAATATAAAGAAGTGTATCTTAACTTTATTTTTTAATTTATTAATTTTTGTTGTACCTGCCTCCTCACCTGAGGTTGAATTCGCAAGGCACGTGCCGTTAATCGAGCGGAACGTTCCACTAGTCGCGCATTTACAAAAGATAATGTTTGAGTTTAATTCACAGTTCTGCGAGTAGTTTCGAATAAAAAAAATGTTCTTATCTAAAATAGCCTTTAACTTATCTACCTGCTGGCGTTCTGGCTTACACGTTGTCTGTTAACTATTTTTTTTTTGTACCTGTTATCATCTAGAGTTTGTGATTTATGGAAATATTCCTACCTCAATCTTTTCTAAGACTCTGTAGAATATAATTAAATATTTGCGAGCTAGACCTTGGGTCAACTTCTATCAGATCACCTTGAAAATATTGAATTTTTTATAATCGGAACTATAAGAATAAGAAGTCAAATTATAAAAAAAGTTAACTATTTCGAGCCCCAACTTTCATGCAGAAGTGTGGATCCACATTCGGGGAAACATTTTTTTTTTACATAACATTTCAAGTTGATTATTGAAGTTTATTGAGTTTACCTGAAATCTGATGTTAAAGGAAAAAATACAAAAGTTCATCAAAGATTGAATACTCTAGCAGAAAAATATCTGAAAAGTGATTTTAAACATTTTAAATTATGCTTTTAGCATAGGAAATCTACCAAAAACTAGGCTTCTAATACTTTGAAGTAATTTATGTATGTATTTATCAGACAACAGTTTTAGTAAGTAAATATTACAATAAAAAACAATCTGAAAAAACGAGCTGTTTTTTGTAGACAGTGTTAAGTGGATATAATTAAAAATATATTGGACATCTGCACTGTGTCTATATTTATACTTCGGCAGCCCGAAAACAGTTTTTTGTATACCCTGTCCCATTGGAAATAGGTAAACAGGGTAAAATGGTTTTGTGCGAATGTATGTAACGGCCAGCAGGAGGCATGCCCCACCCGATAAATAGATATATATATATTTTTCTGTAAGGCTTAGAAATTACAAAAGCTACAGATTATACATAGCAAAATGTTATAGCCAAAATTGCTATCAAAACTTGTCTATATCTCTTCTCATTTCCAAATCAACAAAAGGTTTAATTTTTGAAGCGTAACTTGAAACTGTAAGAGCATTTTACACCAAGTATGTTGACTCCCCTTTGCTATAAACAGAGTAGGATATTTTTGGATACTTAAATTTAAAAACTAGAGCACATTTAAAGATCATATTTATTTTTATTTCGAATAGCAAATGTAGGAAATTCATATTAGGCTTTATTTATGGTTTGAAGAATTCATGACTTTGGGATACAGGGTACTTTGTAGTTGAGCATACTCGAGTTGCATCTTCTTGTTGAGCATTTCAGACACTTTTACTAGTTTTCATTGTATTATTATTATTATTATTATTATTACTATTATTATTATTATTATTGTTATTATTATTATTATTATTATTATTATTATTGTTATTATTATTATTATTATTATTATTATTATTATTATTATTATTATTATTCCGTTAGATATTTACAATATTGGTTCCTCCTTGAGCACCACGGGCTCACCATCCAGTTTTCGTATAGTCGGTAGGCGCTTGATGCACTCGGCCCTCCACGTGAGCTCGTCCAAGCCCTCCGACAGAGGATTGCCAACTACCACTAGATCTTCTAGGGACTCGATTTCGGCCAGCCGATTGAACTCTGACCAGTCTTTGATTAGGTTGTTGCTTATGTAAAGCACTTTCAGGCACTTCAGGGCAGACAAGCCTTTAAGTTTTTCGATCAGGTTGTAGCTGAGCCAAAGTTCTTCCAGAGTTTCAGCCACAGCTTCCTATTACAACTTTAGCTCATATCATATCAGATCAAATATGTTATTTGTAACAACCTACCAGTCCTGATATTTGCTTGATATAGTTCCGCGACAGTGATAGGACCTTCAGACATTTCATGCCCGATAGACCAAAGATTTTCTCAATCATATTTGTAGACATACTAATTCTTCTGAAACATCGAGCGAATGGATCATTAGATGTGATAGTTAATTAAGTTAAGATATTACTCGCAGTTAACCAGAGTTCCAAGTGTATTGTCCATTTTCTCGATCGGTGGCCATTGAAACTGCAAATCAATATTTTTGGCATTCAGCGAATTTTGCTGTTCGCGGTCTTCCCATCGTTTCAATGCTTCCTTGATTGTTGTTGCCTTCGACATCTTCTTCCAAATTCGACTAAATCTGGACTCCTATTACAAAACTATTCCACCCTCGTGCATTCGCCCAAACAAATTTGTGTTGCCAAGAGCAACTAGCTAAAATATGGACTATCCGAAGCCCTTTCCCCTACTTTTAGTAATTATATCACAATGAAAATATAATTATATAACTTGCTCGAATAATAATACAAAACATTTACCTGTCGAATATTAAAAGTCACGCTCTAATAACCTAACTAGATTAAACAATCGACTGCAAAAAGAATGCTTGGTAATTCAATAAATAATATTTCGGTTAAACCCGAAATCGCTATTTGATAAGCGACTAAAGCTCGCACAGAAGTGTTTTTCGATTTCAAAAGCAATAAACCTAAATAAAACATACTTTTCTAAATAAATAAGCTAACGACTATCCTAGATACCCTACTCGAGATACACTCATTTGCATCCATACATTCCTGTGATTTTTATAATAAATATTGTATTCATTGCATTCATTCGAAAGCTTCAAATATTCCATTAGGAATATATATGCAGGTCTACGGAACGTATATTTTGAATAACAGTTGACTATTGCGATTTCTTTGCAATCGATAAATATCGTTTTTCACAAGTCCTTTAAACAAATCTCTATCTTTGGGAGCACCAAATTTGGCTTGTAGTTTCTAGTACATCTTAGTTATGTAAATCAACAATATTTGATCTATTTCTTTTATATTTCCTATATGTATGCTATTATTTACGAATATAATATATTTAAATATATCGATATATATAACAATCGGCCCATCCGTTGTCTGTCCATCCGTCTCCTAGTATTTTTCTTGAAAATAGTCCTTGTTCTGCTCGAGTTTCTTTCTTTTAACCAAACGTTCGAAATCAATATAAAATTAGTACCTTGTCGTAATGTATCAACAGATCAGTATATGTGTCTTTGTTTGGGGAGCAGCGGAAGATTCAGGGTAATTGCTAGTCGGGCACTCCCCACATTTGAATTCCGAAATGTGGAACAAATGATGATGACAAATTTTGCGATTGAAGAAAGAGGCATAAAAGTGGACAAGAAACTCCACAAGGCCGCTAAAAGGGCAATGAGCTTGGCTTGGAACTGGTTAACGAGAAAAAATAAGCATACTAACAAAAGCTTTATATGAACATACTGGATAGGCCACTTTACCCTCTACATAAGTTAGTATTCCGTACTTTCACATGTATCCACACCCATTTACTGGACAAGCAGCAAAATTAATTAATTCAAATTTTCGTAGTACACGTCCAACAAATAACTCAATCTTAACTCAATCTAAGAATTGAAAAAAAAGAATTTCATTGAAGAATATTTGCTGGGTATAAATAAGAGATGAATCGAGTCTGATGGAGAAAACAAAAGCTGGGGACTTCAAGTAAATTATCGATAGCTCCCTCGATTCTCCGAAATCGATTAGGAACGATAACAGCCTGCCGCTTTATAGGCATATCTCTAATCAAAATTGTTTGATTAGTTTTTGTTTGTTGGTTTGTTTATTTGTTGTTTTTTTTTTTTTTTTTGGTTCGGCCTGATTTGTCTAACGATCCTATAACTATGTTATAAGTACATTAAGAGTCCTCCTCCTTCAGTCAAGAGTCAGTCGGGATAAAAAGGTTTATATATAGATAGTAATTCATTTTCTGCTTTTCACGCTACCCGTAAAACAATTACTTCAAATGATTTTCAATGAATTGAAATTTGGTCGACTGTTAAAATGCAAATAAATTAAATTTGATTTTGTGGAATAGATAAAATATTAAAAAGAAAAAAACGTCACGTCAAAGATTAAATACCCTTATACACACAGACTTCGGACTCAACAGATATGTTCGGTGGTTTGGTGCACAGTTTGAGTTTTAAGTTTCGGATCATGGACATGAGTATAGTTTTTATTTAAACAAAAAACGGGTTTTTCTAACTGATTTTCCCTGAAACTGATTGTATTTAAAAAGTAAGGAAATTATGGTTACACTAAGAGATTTAACGAATCAGCTTCGTGGCTGATGTCGTTTTGCTTGCCTGTGTGACCGTCCTCTACGAGGAAAATGACCCGGCACACTTGATTTTGTATGCGATACGATATGGAGTACGTTATAAGTTTCGTTCAGTTCACGTTTTAATAAATAATAAACCAACATGGCTGAGGAAAAATTGCTAAAACATGGCTATATTCAAATTTCAGGTTAAACAACTTGATAACTACTTTGCAAAAAGCCATTAGTAAAAGGTTCAGAATAACATTTTTAACATTTCCGTTTGGCATTTTGGGCTTTCGCGCCATTTTTGCTTGTGCGCTAATCAGCTGTTCGAGCAGTCTGTCAATTTCAGGAATCCCGCTATTGTTTTGAGGCCACTCTAAAATAATCTAATTTATCGATATTTCAAAAGAACATAATGAATATCGAGTGTATCGATATAAGTTCGTTCGCAGCCCAATCTGGCCGACGAAGAAGGTTTTTTTGTTATAATCGTTTTGATTGGAATTGCAACGTATGATGTCTGCGTCAATTTTTGCCAATGTGCCTAAAGGACCGGCAATTGAAGTCTTTGCCTTGACAAGAGCTTTTCAGGATGATGCATCCACCAAAAAAGTCAACTTGTCTGTGGGTGGTATGTATGAATAAGTATTTGTAAACTATTAAAATCATTTTTAATATGTTCTTTATCATCTCATATTTATATAATTTCGCTACTCTACAATCATTTCTTTGACCTTGCCTAAGGTTTCTTGATTTAGAAATACATATGTATGTATCTAGAACTATTCATATGTAAATGTTTAACTGGATACATGTGTTTTTTGTAAACATTCGGCAATCATATTAAATGTCGCACATTAAATTTCGTGTTCTGCAACAAATGTAAATGAATACAGTGTAAACACACATACATACATGCATATATAGATGTGAGCTTATAAACCAAGTTGGCTTTGGGTAAAATTAGAGGGCATTTGTATGTCAAATCGCGAGATGAAGTGTTTTGCTTTTTACAACGGCCCATTGACACTACATATGTATGTATCTTTATGAATTTGTATATGCATTACAAACACATACACATATATTATAGTTTCTGTGTGCACCTAATACTTTCACATGTGCATACATACATACACATATGCAGTTACCTAATATACGAAAACATGCATATGTATGTGCACGCATATATATAATCTAATGATAATAATGACGAATTGTGAATTGTACAGTATTTGAATAGAGTTGATTTCGGTTTTGTATAATGGATTGTGAACTATTGCCAAATACTTATAGATTTCAATTATCATTTGATGTGAAGCATTTAAAAAAATAGAGAGAACTTTGATCAGCAAACAATAACTCATATCTTATCGATTATCAGCCACTTGTCCGCATTAAACGCACAGATATATTTTCTTCTCCAATATAATATTTTATAGAAATTCAGGGCGGAAAGAGCCGCAAATTTAATGGATCCCACTGCCGGCATTTTATGCGGCCTTTTCTTTAGACATAAGGTATATCGAAAATTCTAATTGGCGCTAAATAATATAAAATATGTTCATCAAACGAATCGGATAGTAATTAAATCTATGCCATTCACCCTTTTTCCACCAATTTACCAGTGTTGCGGGTGAAATTACCAAAATCTCTAATACAGATTTCCATTAGGAATTATGTAGGGCTTTGAAAATAAGTTGGCATCCAAAACTCAGAAGAGTCGATTGAATATGAACAAAGATCTTTGAAAATGACTTTAAAGCCAATCAGTTAGTAATTAAATAGTTTTCATATAATCGTTTTCCGACAATTTACCAAGGCGGCCTCTTCAAAATCTCTGAAATTCGTATTCATTAATTTCTTTGGCCCTTAAAAATAAGTTTAAGGCCAATCGGACAAAACATAAAACTTCGACTTAGTCTTTTGATAGCATTTTCTTCGGAGTATGCTTGGATTTTGCGAAAATGTGAAACGCGTCTCAAGTGATTTATCAAAAAGATCCTTAGAAATGAATTTGAACCCGAAACTACGCCCAACAAATCATCAATTTATTGTAAAACTCGATAAATATTTGTTAATATGATACTCACTTGCAGCTTACAGAACGGATGCTGGTCAGCCGTGGGTGCTTCCGGTTGTGCGCAAAACGGAAGTGGGAATCGCGACAGATGAGTTAATTAATCATGAGTATTTACCAGTGACGGGTGAGTTGTGCTTTCTAGCCAATAAAATAATAACTAATCATTTTTATGCATCTTTTAAGGACTCGAATCGTTCACACGTGCTGCAACAGAATTGGTATTGGGCTCGGATTCAAAAGCATTAAAAGAGAAGCGTGTAAGTTTTCCATATAATAGTTCAATATTTTATTAGTATACGTCATGAGAGCCCAGATAGGCATACGCTCGTAGAAATCTATGATTATTTGGATAGATAGATAAAAATATATCTCTTGTCACAAACTCACGGTAGCATATCCGACCCCTTAAGGCATACGATCATATTCTTGATCAGCACCAACCACCGAGTTGACGTAGACAACATAAATATAATAATAATTCAATAATATATTGTCTTTAATCTGTTTTTATAAACGAGTATATTTTGGGCACTCAAGTCGATACGAGCAATAAGCTTATCCTTCCTTTTGATCTGCTGTTTCCTTTATACAACATTTATTTAAATTTATTATTTTGCAGGCCTTTGGTGTGCAAACCATATCCGGCACTGGTGCGCTGCGTGTAGCTGCTGAATTTTTACACCATCAACTGAAACGGCAAACAGTCTACTATTCCAATCCGACATGGGAGAATCATCATAAGATTTTCGCCGATACCGGCTTTACCAAACTGCATTCATATCGTTATTGGGACCAAAACAAACGGCAGCTGGATTTGGAGGGCATGCTGGCTGACTTAGACCAGGCGCCGGCAGAGTCTGTAATTATCTTACATGCGTGCGCACACAATCCCACTGGCATGGATCCCACCCAGGAGCAATGGAAACAAATTGCTGACCTGATGGAGCGTAAAAAGCTGTTCCCACTGTTTGACTCAGCATACCAGGGCTTTGCTAGCGGTGATCCCGATCTGGATGCCTGGGCGATACGTTACTTTGTAGATCGCGGATTTGAACTTTTTGTCTGCCAATCGTTCGCTAAGAATTTTGGATTGTATTGCGAGCGAGCTGGAAACTTGACGATAGTCCAGCAGAGCGGTGCTACCAGAGACATGATCCATTCGCAGCTAACGCTAATCATTCGCGGTCTCTACTCAAATCCACCAGCGTATGGAGCTCGCATTGTGTCCAAAGTATTGAATACGCCTGAACTACGTCAAGAGTGGATGGAGTCTATCAAAAGTATGTCCAGCCGTATTCGCCAGATGCGTAAACTACTGCGAGATAAACTTGTTGCGCTGGGAACTCCTGGAAACTGGGATCACATTGTCAATCAAATTGGCATGTTCTCCTACACGGGTCTTAATGAGAAGCAAGTCGGCGTCCTGATCAAAGATTACCATATTTACTTGCTCAAAACGGGCAGGATTAATATGTGCGGCCTTAACACGGGCAATATTGACTATGTGGCGACAGCTATTAATGCAGCTGTCACATCCACTCCAGAGAATAAATTATAATTGTTTTCCGTGCGAGGCGAACTAAAAAAACACACAATTTCAATAATTTGAAGCAGAACGTGATCGCAATTAAAAATGTCTACCGAAATAAAGATATTGACGAGTTAATTATGCATGCATTAAAAAATAGCATTTTATAGAATTAAAAAAATTGTATTAAATAGCTCAACTTAGCATTTATAAAAAATTTGTAACCACACATCCAATAAATACAAAAATATATACTCACATATAAATTTATGTGTAAGAACATCCTTCCGCTTAGTCAGATAATTCCATCTAGCGATGTTTTAACATTGCAAGGATTGTTTCCCAGCTGAATAATAATGATACGTGATTCTCTTATCGGATGTCAAATGGCTATGCCAGACCATTATTGATCGACTTTTAATGCTTTAATTTGTAAAATAAAGAAATTATAATTAATAATGAGCTATTAATACATTTGTTATATATTTGTAATATTTGCTTTAAAGACACTGTTTTTCTAAAAAATTAACGTCCGTACACAACTTAAAGAAATACAAATTCGGGTTAGGTCGTGGTCGACACAAGAAAATTAACACAATTTAGTTTTATGGACAGATTATAATAATGAAATTTGTAGCACCCTGTACTTGTATATTTTATTTCGAATAATGTCTTAAAAAATGCCAAAACGCGTTGTTGTTAGTAATCACAGTCTGCTCAACAGTGTTGTATAACGTGTGTGTGCAATCGACAAAAGGATTTGGCTTATGTATTTACAATGACAGGTAATATCATCTAAAATCATTAAAAAATGTTTCACTAAGTAGAGTATAACCCAGACAAAGCGAAACCAGTTAATGACAGCAGTTGCAATCCGTCAAGTTCCGCAAATGTAGATAGTGCGCCGCTATTCCCACCTACCAAGCCTGGTAAAGCTGCCGATTATGGCACTAACAACACGTTGGAGCTCTTGGAGCGTATTCCCAGTCAAATAGTCGATCTCAAACTGGACGAGGTGCTCACTGCCGTGAAAACAGTGGATAACCTGTGCGATAACCCACGCTGCAAGACCAAAACAAGTCTAATGGGCCAAGACTGCGAGCTCTGTTCCAAGCGTTTCTGCTTCAAGCACGGTCTGCCCGAGGTGCACGGTTGTGGTCTGGAGAAAAGACGAGAGGCCCGTAAAGAATTTCTCCATCCCAAGCCTTTAAAGACTATACGACAAGAAGAGGAGCTTAAGAATGCTAAAAAGAAACTTAATGAAAAGCTAAAGAACATGCAAGTCGGTCGCATGCAGAAATCAGGTGGCAGTGATAAAAAGAAAAAATAGATTTGCCTAGGTTATACAAATATATAATGTAAATTGCAAATTTCTAGTTTAATTCTCTGAATATACGTACATAACAAGTTAAACATGCGTATAGTACATATATAATTGTACAACATCAGCTGATTAAAGTCTATCCCTCGGTCAAGGTATTGCTCACATGTTTGCGCTCCAGACGAAACAACTCGTGAATTTAAAGAATGTTGAATTTAGGTGGATTTTACGGCGTTCTGTCACGAGCTACACACAGGGACAGGCGCCCGAGCCAAGGATACGAGAATACTTCTACTACATCGATCACGATGGCATGGTGTGTAAATACAATATGTTATCATGCCTTCACTCACATCTCACGCCTTGTACCCATTGATGGCAAACAAAGAGGGGGTTTTTACTATATATTCTGGGATAGTCTACCCGCATCTGTCTGTTATTTATCCAAACATCTGCCACAGCGTGGGACTTTGTGGTCTCATGTTTATGCACTTGTCTAAATAGAATATCGTGTGCATGCAAAGTCGGGTACGGGGTATACTCTAGTCGGACATGCCCGACTAGCGAACTAAATCTCAAACACCTTTCACTTTTCTTTTGTTTCAATTGCAGCTCTTTTTGGACGATGCCAAAATGAAAAACTTTACATCCTGTTTTAAAGAGAAGGTCTTTCTAAAATTCTTCTTCAGTCGCCTGCGACTGAATGAATCACAGCGATACCAAGATTTCCCCTACATCTCGCTTTGTGGCCGAGAACGGAATTATGTGCGTTGCGATGACACGCCCATTGTGTTTACTGATCAACTGAAGAAGGACGCATGTGAAGTCAGTGATGTTTTAACCTATGCACATGGAGGTCCAGATTTGTCGGTGCCCTTTGAACCGCAAAATCTTTATATGCACCCAAAAAGCGGGCGTGTATATCATCCAGCTTGGCCAAAAGTAGGTGGCATTGGGCTTGTTCGTTCTAAATTGGCCATTGAGCTTAGCCAGAACTTCGTATTTGCTGATGGTGGCAGATCGCCAACACATTTTAATTGGCATGGAACTCAACTAAAGCTGGAAAATGAATGGATAAACAACTGTCAAAGGTACGGCATGCATTCTCAATGCGAAAGCGCATAAAACTTCCGGATTTGTCAAACTGTGAATAAATTTAATGATTCTGTTATTAAGAGAACATACTATGTACATTACGCATATATATATATAGTGTTAGGACTATTCAATGCTCAAAGGCTTAAACTCGCCTTCTTTGACTTTAACCCATGAAAGTCCCGTGGCAGCACCGCCTACACCACATTCAGCAGGCACAATTGTGTTTCTACTTTTGCGTATTTGATCCAAAACTGGTCCATGTACATTTGCTTGGAACTTTTCAAATACTATATAATGCGGGTCTTCTGTTGGCGGTGTATCATACACGCGCGATTTGCTCTCCATTATACTCTCCTGAACAAGTGCCGCATATGCGTCTCGGTTGGTGTTTAACAGCTTGCTAGCTTCTGGGTTGCTGAGTTCCTGGATACTAGCCACGCTGCGAATGCTGTCCAGTGGATCGGCAAATATCGCTTGTATGTACTTCAATACCTGCCAAAGGTGATCTTCTCCGCATCTCCATTCCGGGAATGCATGGCTGATGTCAAGACTATTTGTGTAAGGGCAAACAAGTGGATGTACAACGTTGTGTTGAAAAATAATTGCCTTGTATAAAAATAATACAATGTCTATTATCAAACTCCAATACGTATATATCATATCAGGCACTTACTGGAACTGTTTTGTCATCTGGAAAGCCAGCCGGCAACAATATTGAAAAGCGGAATACACTGTTTTCATAAAAGCCTTGTCGACCAAAAAATACTCCAAACCATTCTAAAAAAGATAAAAATTAGATATCAAATTGTTCACTTTCTTTATTATTCGCAAGCATAATATACTAACGCAAGGAATTGGCGTAGCTTGGAATAACATAAATGCCCGAGACCTTCTCCGATTCAATCATTTTGCTATAGTTAAACGAAGGTTATTATTATTTGATGATGCAAAGCTTTGGTATTTTACATTCTTACTATTCCGCCAAAATTTTATATTCCTGCTGTATTGTTGAAAGTAATAGCTTCTCATCTTTCTTTTGTGCATCAACGTCAAGCGTCATACTTATTTTTAAGCAAGTAAATTTATTGTATTTATATACTGGTCGAATTAACTTGATTATGTTCCGTACCTTGATAACTATCGTATGATTTTAATATCGATATCGTGTGTACGTTTGTATCGATATTGTTTGTTCTTATTAATGTGAACTAGCAAATAGAAAACTGAACATGCTTTGCTCCCAACATCGCAAATATTTAAATTAAAAAAGTTTCCAAATTTTGGGTTTCTTATATCAATGCTAACTTTTTGCTTTTCACTCATTTCAATCAAATTTTCTGATTTTGTTATATATGATGAACAAATTATTTGAACTAGATTCGGTGAGTCCACTTAGAAACTAGTTCCCTTTCAATCAATCAATTGCAGCCCTGTACACGTTTATTTGTATTATCATAGTATGCGGTAAGTACTATAAGGATAACTCAATCACTTAGAATTCAATTAAATGTTTTAGGATAAGTTTTTTTTACAACAAAAAAAATGTCTTATAAGTTAGATTCAGAAGTAGTGACTGTGGACGAGGACGGTCTGCGTTTCTCTCAAGAAGATATAAACAATTGTAAGGGTCAAATGCTGGAAGGCATCAGACAAGAAACGGAACCACCAGGTCAGGCGTCCAGCACATCTGCAAATGAAAAGGTAGTACCTGAATTCTACAACAAGGCACAAAAATATTGGTCCGAAGTGCCAGCAACAGTTAACGGTATGCTGGGCGGTCTTGGCTACATTAACGCAATTGATATACAAGGCTCGAAGATATTTCTCCGCGAGCTTAAAGTACCGGGCAAAAAATTGGCCCTGGACTGCGGTGCCGGAATAGGACGAGTGTCATGCAACCTACTTATACCACTTTTCGAAACTGTCGACCTTGTTGAACAAGATGCCGCCTTTGCTGAGAAGGCCCGCGAGTTGTGCACATCGGAGTCAGTTCGTCGGAATGGCTTGGGTGAAATATATAATCTGGGCCTACAAGAGTTCTCACCCACAAATAAATATGACCTTATTTGGAGCCAATGGGTTCTGGGACACCTAACGGATCCAGACCTTGTGGCTTTTTTTCGTCGCATGCGGCTCAGCTTGCAGCCAGGCGCTTACTTTTGCATAAAAGAAAATGTCAGCACCTCCAAGGAAGTGATAAAAGACGACGAGGATTCATCAGTTACTCGTCCACTAGAATTATATGAACGTTTTTTAAAAGAAGCTGGCTTTCGCGTTGCGAGAAAAGTACGACAACAAAATTTTCCCAAAGGCCTATTTCCAGTCTATATGATTGCCTGTAAACCAAAGCCATAAGTTCGCAATTCGGAATTCGACTCGCATTAACAACGAATTTTTCAAAAATAAATGTGAAATTAGATTCATTAGTATTTAGATAGCTACTGCGACAATGCAGGATGTAGATATTATATCTGGATTTTATGTTGATATGACTTTTCTGTATTTGCGATACTATCTTTACTATTATTAAATTCATATTCGAATTTAATAGTTCTGGGGTCCATTCGAACATATGTATGTAAACAATTAAGCTATCATTTCAATAAAAATACAAGAAGCTGGGACTTTTCCTTTAAAGCACAAAACATTTGAGAACAAAAATTCCATGCGGACAGTGAATGTTTTGGGGCTATGCAATTCATCGGTATACGACTGTTTTCTTAACAGCCCTGTTTGAAAAATACAGCTGATGCCTATGAGTTTCCTTCGAAAAATAAGACAGAAAGGTACCCAACATGTCGAAGCGAATACAACCAGAGCGTAGCAAGCGCCAACAACCTCAACGCGTCCACAGACAACACAAAACATTTGTAAAAATAAATTTCATGAGGACAGTGAATGTTTGGGGGCTGTGCAATTCATCGGTATACGACTGTTTCGATATTTTGCTAACAACCCTGATTGAGGCAAACAGCTGACGCCTATGAGTTTCCATTGAGAAATAAACGTGTGGGAAGCTCGCAAGCGCAGAAAAGGTATCCAGCATGTCGAAGCGCATACAGCCGGCGTGGCAAGCGCCAACAACCTCAACACGTCCGCAATTACGATTGTACAATAGTCTAACTAGGCAAAAGGAGGAATTTGTACCATTGAGCGGCAACAATGTTAAGTGGTATAGCTGCGGTCCCACCGTCTACGATGCTTCGCACATGGGACATGCCAGGTGATAGCCACATCAGCAATCACAGTTTGTTTACTATCTAATCTTGATATTCCCACAGATCTTATATTTCTTTTGACATTTTGCGACGCATATTGGCCAATTACTTCGGCTACAACATCCACTACGTCATGAACATCACCGATATCGACGACAAAATTATAAAGCGAGCACGTCAGTATCATCTGTACGAGCAGTATGCGAGTGGGGCTGCGCAGCTGCCTCTAGAGCAATTGTTGAACGAGCAAAAAGAGGTACTCGGTCAATTGCAGGTCAAGTGCGATAAAAATACCGATCCTGATAAGAAAGTCATGCTGGAAAAGATGTTACAACGCATGATCGATGCATTGGAAGCACTAACGAAAGCTGTCAGCAGTGGCAACGCGGACGAAATTACTAAGATGAGGTGCCATTATTTAACCGAAGCAAAGGATCCGATTGCAGAGTGGCTAGATGAAAAGAAGGGTGCCCATGTAAATGACAATACCGTCTTTGAAGCATTGCCGCGATACTGGGAGGATCATTTTCACAATGATATGAAATCACTCAACGTGAGTCATATACCAATATGTATATATGAATATTTATATTTATAGCATTTCTTATTGCAAATAATATCAGATCTTGCCACCCGATGTATTAACGCGAGTATCGGAATATGTGCCGCAGATTGTTGCATTTATTCAGCGCATTATCGATAATGGGCTCGCCTACGAAGCAAATGGTTCCGTCTATTTTGATGTGAATGGCTTTGACAAACGCGAAAAGCATCACTATGCAAAGCTTGTGCCCGAAGCCTATGGCGATACGACGTCTCTACAGGAGGGCGAAGGTGATTTGTCTGTCACTGCGGATCGGCTCTCAGAGAAGCGCTCTCCAAACGATTTTGCCCTGTGGAAAGCAAGCAAGGCTGGAGAGCCTTGGTGGGACAGCCCTTGGGGACACGGTCGGCCTGGATGGCATATCGAGTGTTCAGCAATGGCATCGGATATATTTGGATCCATATTTGACATACACACTGGCGGGGTCGACTTAAAGTTTCCACATCATGACAATGAACTGGCCCAATCAGAGGCTGCGTTTGGTGAGTCAGAATGGGTAAAGTATTTTCTGCACACCGGTCACCTTACCATAGCTGGCTGCAAGATGTCCAAGTCTCTTAAGAATTTTGTAACGATACAAGAGGCATTAAGAAAGCACTCGGCTACGCAGCTGCGCCTGGCGTTCTTGTTGCACTCTTGGAAGGACACGCTCGATTATTCCGAAAATACTATGGAGATGGCCACTCAGTACGAGAAGTTCCTTAATGTAAGCAATACTCAACGAAATTTGGACTACAATACAATACATTTACTAACGTCCCATTGTTATAGGAATTCTTCTTGAATGTCAAAGACTTAACACGCCATGTGCTATCTGGAAAACCTATGCAACAGTTTAGTGAGTGGACTGCTGTGGAGGCGGCCTTGCAGGCAAAGTTTAGCGAAGCGCAGGGTCAAGTGCATGCGGCCCTTTGTGGTATGTTTCACTGTAAAAATTAATTTGGCAATCACTGATAGCATTTTCTTGTAGATAACATTGATACGCGCAGCGCCCTCGACTCAGTCCGGGAGCTTGTATCAACTACGAACATATACATACGCGACAATAAGACAAGGCTTAACCACCTGTTACTCCGCAAGATAGCCACATATATTACGGATTTGCTGCATATATTCGGAGCCATTGCAGGTCCGCGTGGTGGCATTGGTTTTCCGTTGAACAGCACAGAATCTAATAATTCAGAAATCAACGATCACGAGTCTGTGGTAATGCCATATGTTCAATCGGTAGCTGAATTCCGTAACTTAGTTCGTGAACAGGCGAAGGTATTAAAAGCATTTGACATACTTAAGCTATGCGATGATCTGCGTGATGATGTTTTGCCCAATTTGGGTGTCCGATTGGAGGATAAGGATGGTGGAAAGTTTGCTGTCAAATTGGTTGATCGAGATATGCTATTGCGCGAACGCGAGGCCAAACAAGCTGCTGAAGCAGAACGGGCTGCCGAAAAAGAGCGTAAAAAACAAGCTTTGGCAGAGGCTGCAGCAGCTAAGGAGTCACAACGTCGAATTGATCCGAAAAAGATGTTCCTCAGCGAAACTGAAAAGTACTCGGCATTCGGCGAAGACGTAAGTAGAATAAGACTAGATGAAGAATACAAATATATCATACACATAATTTTAGGGACTTCCTACACATGACAAAGACGGCAAAGAGATTAGCAAAGGACAACTCAAGAAACTTCAAAAACTCCAACAACAGCAAGAGCAACGTTACAAGGAATATCTGGCTACTGTTAATGGAGCGTAAAGCTAACTACGTGTAACTGATATTATATAAACAACTCACCAGATAAATTCAGTCTAGGTATTTATATTTTCATAACATGCCCGTTTAACATTTGCATTCAATAAAATCGAAAATCTACCCGAAACTTAATGTTAATACCTATGCCCTATGGCAGTCCTCGGTCAACGATCAATCTTAAATAAGGATTTTTTGTGCCAGCCGCTTTTTTATTCAACTTGTATTTATTCAAAGTAAAATTCAATAACACTTTTTTAAACGTTTCATTGATTTTACTTGTTTGCTATTACAATTTTTTAGTGATAAATCTCGTAAGATTATTTACTTTTTTAACTTTTTACTAGTATGATTAATTTATCATTGTCAAAAAAGTTGGGAATTTGAAGAGCTAATAATCCGCTATATTTTATTACTTATGGTAATGTTTCAAACCTTTCAAAATGACATAGTAGAATGAACTAGAAAAACAAGAAAGACATAAAAATGCTTAGATTTGTGTTAATTGATCAAGGTATAAAGTCGACACATAAAATTAATGAATAACCAAAAGATTACTTAT